AACGGTGACTGTAAATTTCCCCACAGAGATATGTTTCTTCGATTTGAAGGCTATCTATGTAAACAGGTTTTAGGCATTCAAAATGTACCTGGGGTCAAAAATTCTGACTTCTAAAGAAACCGAATATATTTTTCTATATCTTGGTATTGTACTGGTACACACTTAAAGACACTAATGTATGTCATCTTTGCTGCAAAACAATTCGATTTGGTATGCATTGCATGGAGCCCAGGCTGAAGAGAAAGGGGGCTGGGAGCTATCTCTGCTGGAGGATCTCTGAAGTCAGAAAGACTGACAGTTTGGATATATAAAATACTTCTTCATGGAATCGGTATAGAATAGTCCCTCTTGTGGCACTCCTTTCCCTAACTTCCCAGCCGGTATGAAATGATTTATGAAAAAAAATAAATGGCATTGACGTTGTGATTTTCAGATGCATTATTACGTTGTTATTTGTGATAGTTAAACAGTTTTACTCCATAGAAATCCTGGTACAAAAATCAAGTACTTTATCTCCAGATACTGATATGACCCTGCATTTTCAGGGAATAAATCTGTGCTCTGTTTAAAATGCACCGTACTTACATAAAAAGACAGTCACTTCAATTTCTTTWAAAAAAAAAATAAAGAAAGGTGGAAAAGTCTGTATTGTTATTGTTTTAATTTTCAACTTAACTTTTAAACTTACCATTTATTTTCCATCTTAAGAAGATCATGCAGAAATACTTTCCTTTATTTTCTTCAGTACCTGCTTCTTTTTTTCCTCTTCTATGTATCTGTTTCTAGAGAAATGGCTTTTTCCTGCTGAATCTTACATATCTCACCTATTTTTTTCCTACAGACATCTCTTCACATTTCTGAGATGATCAGTCTCTCTTTCATAACTTATTTAATTCATTACATTCTACACACCCTTGGGAAATATCATAAAAAGCCAACAACCAGAGAATGAATGGATTAGACAAAGATTACAACAAAATGGAACAAGAAAAACTCACAAGTAAAAAAAAGTTCATCTCAGTTAATATTTTAGAACTGCCATACAGGCTAGGCAGAGGAAAGCCCACACACATATATTTTCAGTTCATTATGAGTTGCAGAGATGCAAAGAATGTGATTGAAATGGGCCATTTACTCTCTGAACATATCTGGCCTGTGGTCTTGAGAGGATGCCATGAGAGGGAGCAACAAGCCCCTGCTTCCTGCAGTCCATTAAACACCAGACAATGAAGAYAGAATAAGGAAAGGCTGACAGAAACACTACTTCAGAAGAAAGGATCACATCTCTCTCTTTTAAGTTTTAAACATATACACCCCTGCTTTGGAGAGAAAGCATTTTGTTTCCTGGTGATATATATWTTCAAACTGAGTCTTGTTGCTTCCAATGCCCACCTGCAACAGCGTTTGGTGGCTTAGCCTGGAGCTCTTTCCCCCATCCCTGTTCCTGAGGTGCCTACAAAAATCATTGCTCCTTATGCATCCCAGATTGAGTTGATACCTGTCACTCCTGTTTCTCCAGCATAATGCTGATGGGTTAGGCTGATGAAGTGCCATCAAATTCACCACACTCCATAACAATTTCAGAGGTCAGTCAGAATACTTATGAAAACATGCAGTCTTACCAATTACAGAAAGACTCACCATACCAACTTCCAAATGTGAACATATTGAATATACAATTATAATTGAACTAAAAGTYACTAGAACCTCAAAACTGTTCCAGATGTTGGCTGGCGGACAAAACTCAGCTGTGACTCAGCATTATACAGGGTAGATATATCACCAGGAGCTAAATTAMAATCTTTCTTAAAAGCCAGTGGGACTTCAGTGCTGACTTCAAACAAACCAGAGCTTCAGCCAAGACAGGTAATGTAAAAGCAAATGTGTGGCACTCTGGTAGATTTATTGTTATTGTTATTTGGTTCAGTGTTAGCATTATTTCATTACTGCTATTGCAGTAGCTCCTAATCAGACTAGAAATACACTGAAATAAGACTACAATATTTGACTAAAACGATCTTTGGGCAACAAATAAAACACTAACMCTGGTATGGGATAGTATTATATTTTATTTTCCCTTTACAAATATATATGTTTTTACCTATACAGATGTGTTCATTTTTTGCTTTTTATCAGTATTAAAAATATTTTTCTTGTCATTAGGAAATGTCTTTTCTGTATATTGTAGCAATATGATAACCTGTCTCAAAGGTTATGCTCATGCATTTAGTTCCTGTAAAAGAATTAACGATTGTTATGATCCAATTATTAAGGTTCTATGAAATAGCCCCACCCAAATTAAGGYACAAATAACACCATATGCCAGTCTAGTAGTATGGGTTTTATTGTAGTCGAATAGTATGGGTTTTATTTGATAGTAAATATAAGAGAGAGAGGAAAAGAGAGAAAGGGAAATGTAGGAAAAGAGGTGAGTGGGACAGAGTGACAAAGAYAGAAGGAGGAAAGTATCATCATCTGTGGATCCCAACAATGTTGGTCTTCTTGGTRGTGAWGGWCCCCCCGGAAAGCACAGAATCCCATGAATTAACATGCAATCAGGCCAGGTGACAATGTCCAGATATGTCCCCTCAGGGGAGGGGGCAGTCTCCTGCAGCAGACTCTGGATCTGTTCCATCAYGTGCAGTCCTGTGGTGCAATGCCTCTGGGCAGCATTTTGGGGGTCTTTGATGGATTGTGACACCCCCTCAGCTGCCTCTCACATCCATGTCCTGTGGATGTGGCCTGTGGGGTTGGGGGTTCCACAGTGGGGCCAGTCTGTGTAAGGAAGGAGGGGTGTTCATTTAGGGGCAGGGGAGTCTGTGTAAACCTGGCTTCTGTGGGCTGTGGTCTCCYCCACCCCAAATCCAKCCAGGGAATTATCTCTGCTGTGTTTGGCTCTCTTATGGATTCCTTTCCCTCAGCCTTGTTTGTTTCTCCCTAGGCTGAGATGAACAATAGTGTCTTATCTCAGCAGCTGAACTTACAAAGACCCAGTCAAGTGTCTTCAGGGAGGCTTCTTTGGTTGTAGCTTCTTTATACAGTTTTTGTTATAATGAGTAAAACTTTATATGAATGTTTGAGGTATGAACTATTTCAGTTTCTGACAACTATGGAAAAAATAAGTGATGTCCTTAAAACAGGACTTGTAAATGAYAAGTTTTTGCTGCTCTGAATGCTGAAAATCAAGCAGAATGTTTACAAAGGTAAGGTTACAATTACAAGATCATTTTCATTTTCATTAATGCGATAACAGTGTTTGCAAGTGCTACAAATCCATCCATACAACCATGCATCAAGYAGCTTACATTTCTGTGAAAAGAACAGGAAAAGTCTAAAAGGAGTTTCAAAGTAGATTAATAGGCCATGTCCAGGCTAAGGTGGATATCACGTTCTCTGTGTTACAGTACAGCGCAAGAGTCCCTCAACCTGCCAGACTACAATTGCTGGCATATTCAAGCCCTATTGCAAGATTAGGTTATTCTAGGTGATGCAGATAGTGCTTTGGATTCAAGAACAGTACCAAAACACAAAAAAAGCTCTTATTCAATGGCCTGAACAAATACAATTATATCTTCTGTGAGCTAAACAGCCATAGCTCCCTGGCTACAGATAAGGACCAGCAGAAGCCGGAGCCCGCTCAGGCTATAGCTCACACGGGGAAGGTGCAGTCCCCACCAGGCCCCGGGGAAGGGAGCTGCAGACACAGCACAGGCACAGCCTCGTAGCCCTGTGTATGGGAGGGGTTGCTGCTCAAGGCCTGGGTGACTGCGAGCTTCAGTGTGCTGAACTGCAACTGCACTGTGCGGCTGCTGTGCAGAGGAAACTGTTTCTCCACTCAATGTTTATTCGATCTTTCTACAATTACTAACACAATCTTGTTGCATCAGGCACCTACCAAACAGTTTTTTAGAGTCACAAAATACGATATTTTTAGAGAAGGTAAGTCACAGTATCATACAATATACTGAGCTGGAAAGGGCCCATCAGATCACTGAATCCAGATCCTAGCCCTGTGCAGGATACCCCAAGAATCCCACCACATAAATGGGAGTGTTGTCCAAATACTTCTTGAACTCTGTCAAGCTTGGTGCTGTGACCACTCCCCTGGGTAGCTTGTTCCAGTGCCTGACCACCCTCTGGGTGATATCCAATATCCAACCTAAATCTCCCGACTCAATTTCATGCCATTTCCTCGAACCCTGGCACTGCTTGTGACGACTGAAGGGATTAGCACCTACCCCTCTTAGACTGTTGAAAACCACAGTGAGGTTTTCAGTCTCTTCTCCAGGCTGAACAAACCTGTGACCTAAGCTTTTCCTCATAAAGCTTCCCCTCCAACCTCCTCGTGTCCCTCGTTGGGACACTCTCTAATATTTGATGAAATCTCATGCACTTTGAGCACTAAACGAAGCAACTGTTAAATACAGAAGCGATGCCTAAGCACGTCTCTTGAAAACAGGTGTCAGCTTCGGCSAAAGCGGGGCGGCTCCCGGCGGGGCTGCAGCTCCCCAGGCGGGGCCCGGCGCGGCGCTGACGCGGTCCCCTCACGGCGCGGGCGGGCGCGGGGCGCGGCGCTCCCTCCCCGCGGGGGCGGCGCTTCTGAAGGCGCCAGCCCCTCAGGACCCTTCGCGCCGCTCCCGGCGGGCGCCCGGCCACACGCGGCGGGTCGGGCTTCCCCGCCGGGAGCACCGGGGACTGCATGGGAGCCCTTCCCCGGCGGGCACCGCCGCGCTCTCCCCCCCCGCCGGCTGCGCGAAGGAAGACGGCGGAATATGCCACCGGCGGGGCGGTTCCGCGGGGACTGACATGTTGCTGAAGGAGGGCAGGCGCCAGCCCCTCCGCCTCTCCCCGCGGTAGCGGAGGCGATGCTGCAGGGCGCTCCCCGGGCTCTCCCGCAGGCGCCAGGCTATCGCCCACAGCAGCCGCGCTCGCTGCCGTGAGCGGCGCGGCTCCGGCCCGGCCGAGGCGACGAGCGGCGCGGGCCCGTGCCCGGGGCGGCGGCGGCGGGGAAGGCGCTGCCCGCGCCCGCGGGCGGCTCCGCGCGGCGGATGCGTGTGCATGAGCGCTGCACCGAGCGGGCGCAGGAAGCGCCCCCGCTCCGCCGCCTCCATCTTCCAGGGCAGCAGGACCTCGCCGCATGGCCGCGACAGCGACCGCCGGGGCAGCGGCTCCGATAGCGACTACCAGACCCAAAGAGCCCTGGACGACTGTAAAATGGTGGGTACCGTGGGCGGGCTTGCCATAGTTTTTACCTTTTCCGAGCTCTCCCGGTKCTGGCGGCGATACCGCTCCTCTAGCCACCTTGACTATTCCCATCACGTGCAGTTGCACTGTTTTTAAATGCGCAGTCCCCGCCGGGGTGCTGCCCTGCACCCCGACTCGCGGCGGTTCCAAGGCGGGAGCCGGGAGGGAAGACGAGAGCCGCGGGCTGCGGGACAGGGACCGGGGCCGGGCTCCTAGGAGAGCGGGAGCAGGAGTCTTCGCCCAGAACACACACCGCAAACCAGCTGGAGTTGCTTTTTGGTAGATCCGTCAAAATCCATCCCCAGACTTGCGCTCCCTGATGCCTAAATGGGTAAATAGTTGCCTCCAACGAATCACTGCACTGTCTGCTTGTTTTCTTGTGCAGCAACCACACTGTTGCCCTAAAATCCTTSTAAAACAGGATTTAGAATTAGAGGCCCTGAAATTCTGTCCCTGAATATATATGGTACCAGTTACCAGTCTTCCCAGAGTAGTTGGTTACAATTGTAAAACCTCAGGTGRACCACCTGCATCTATGTTATTTTTTGGAGTGCCACATTATGGTATGAGATTTTTCCCCTGTCGTGTTCAAAATACTTGCATCCTAACAGTTTCCTCTAAATCAGTGCTATATGTCGTCTTTCAGACTCCTTGAGCTACAGTCAGCCTGACACTGGGCCCCAAAATTGCCCCTCTAGCCAGTGGAGGTAGTAAAAAAATGAAGTTGCTGCTCCTTTTCTTGACAAATCTGTACCTTGCTAAAGCCCTATCCAGTAGCACTGGGAATGGAGYTGCTATCTCTTCTGCTGGATCCTGGCAAATTTTTTTCCTCTAGTGTTGAAAAATCTGCTGGCAGATTATCCACTCTGATACTTCAAAATTGGGAGCAATTCCCAGTGCACAGAGGAACAAAAGCTGCCACAGTAGCTCTAWAAATATACCCAACAAGTGGATCTTACTGGCTTCTGCATTTTTTTCTCATTCCCAACAGCATAATGTGGTTACTTAAGAAGTTTGTTGACTTATTAGAAATAAAATACATTTTACAGATGGGTTGTCAAGTTGCAGTAAGATTCAGGAGGTAAAGTCAGTTGGTTTTTCTCATTCTCTGTCTCAATTCAGCAGCAGTCTCTGTGGTTTTGTTTTTCTGGGCAGTTCTGAGGTGGCTGAATGAGTGTGTTTAGACAAGGTATGTCAGGTGAGAACTAGCAAAATGTGTCTGGTACAACTAGCTACCAGTTGCAGTTTGCAGTGCTTTTTTCTTTTTGCTAATGCGGAATAATCATACTCTTGACACAACATAGTACAATTTTTTTTTTCTCCATTGCCTTCATGCATTCTCTTAAGTTACAAAATTATAAGACTTGAAGACCTGTTTAGCAAATATTGTGCCTAGGGCTTTGTTTGGTGTGTGCTTTCGGGTTTATTTGGGATCTGGGTGTGGGAGGGTGCACTGAAATGCACTTGGGTTGATTTGCTGCACCTGAAGCAGAGAAACCTATTTGCTATTTTTAAATTGAGATTTAAGAAAGCATTCAAAACTATTTTTGATGCCAGCTCTCAGCTATACAGTTAATTGCAGTGGGATGCATGAAGGGTATGAATATAATACTGCAGAAGCAACTCGTTTATTTCCTGAGCAGGAGAATTTTTAGRCTTGACTTTAAAAATTAATAGCTCTCATAGACTGCAGGTTCTTAGCATTTTTTTTATGTTGGGGTGTGTTGAACTTCTGGTGGTAATGATGACTGCAGAATTAAGAGCAATTACTCCTGTCTGTTTTTATGTAGTTGGGAAATTGAGGTCAAAACACAGATAAATAAATATTCTGTTCTATTACTCCAATCCTTCCGCCCCCATCACCATGTGGAGCAAATGGTATTATGTGCATTCTTTCAGAAGACAGCAAATGCTTCATTTCCTTAAAATATAATTCCATCTGCATGATCAGTGGAACTAAACAATAATGATCTTTCCATCACTGTGAAATTACCCATTTATCCGATAACATCTGTATGTGTCTGCTGGATATTGGATTTCTGTAAAGGCAGTTGTGTTTATTTACTCCTTCGTTTCTTTTTCGCACACACACTTTAGAAAAGGTGCTTTCTCTAATTTTTACAGGACAGTGCCTGTCTGGTATATCTTCTCAGCCAGTAACAGCGGATCAGTTTTAAGTCTGAAATCTGGGTTGAAGGAAAGTGACAGAACAGAAATCATTACAAAATAAATTAGCAAAATTTCCAATTTAAAAGCAAATGCTACATTCCAATCCCTAAATGTGCTGTTAATCAGGAAGCAGGAGGAGCAAAGGCAATAATTTTTGGAGATATTTTTGTCTTTTATGATAGCAAAAAAATAACCTCATGSTACTAGTAAAACAGATGGTTTTTTGTCTGCTTAATATTTAATACTAATAACTCAAACATTTTCCGATATTAAAAGCAGAAACACTACTTTGCTACAGATGAGCATTTATAGCTCACAGAAGAAGCAGCTGCCACAGAGACTCTAGTCATTTACTGAATCGTRGGCTCTTGATCCTGTGTGCTATGAAATTGTAAGCAGCAGACACATGATTGGGCATGTTTTTAAAAAACTGGATTGTTTTTACCAATGTAGTTCAAAATTCTCATGTATGTAAATTGTCTTTGTTTTTCAGCTTGTCCAGGAGTTCAACACCCAGGTGGCTCTCTATCGGGAGCTGGTAATTTCCATTGGGGATTTCTCCGTTACCTGTCCGTCTCTGCATGCAGAATTGCACAAAACTCGAACACGGGGATGTGAGATGGCCTATCAGGCTCATCAAAAACTAGCAGCTATTTCTGGGTAGGAGGCAACTTATGTTTAATTAAAGCCATATGCATGGACAAATCTTTGTTAAATACTACATTATGGAAACTTTGAGGAAAAACATTAACTTGTATTTGTGTTTTAGGCTTATAGGTGTATGACCACAAATTTTGCAGAATGCTCATATCCTTATCATAGTACAATTTTCATCAAATCCTGGTCCCCTTACCAAAAAGGTATCATTCTGATTTCACTGGATGCTTCGATGTAAGGCAAACAGGGTTTTACCATGTCCAAATTAAGGGGGAAGCTATACCCTTCAAGGGTGAAATAGTAATAGCTTTCTGTCCAGTCTTTCATTGAGTATACCTAATTGAATAGCTGGCTCTGCTCAACTAGAGACTCAACAAAATTAGACCAAAATTAGGTAAAAATTGAGTGAGTGGAATACAAATACTAGTCTGAAAACTTGTGTTTACATTCTACATGTTTTTAAACCCTTGTTTGTGTTGAAATAAGAATGGAAGCTTTGCCAACAAATAATGTTTTAATTTATTCCTTGGTATTACATTATGTACATTGCTTTCCATGGTGACAGAATGTATTATCACATACTTGAGACTATGCCTCAGCACAAGATCAACCAGCATAAGTAGCTATTTCCTAAAAAATGGGAAATTGTGCTGCTAATTTTGTGTGGGTTCTTCACAGTATGGTGACTAGGGCATTTGTATATATACATGTACCCCCAAGTGTCTGATAACACTTTGTCAGAACTTTGTGCATCTTTCTTACCTACCATAAGCCACTGTGCACCACTGGAAAAAAACAACCCACTTTCATTTTTTGTAGCTCTGTCTAAGCCCCACTGAATTTCTTTTGTCACTTTAATATATATGAGAAATCTGTCACAGTCTTAGTATAGAAGGGGAGCCCACACTAACAAACCACAGAAGAAGATACTGGTTGGATGTTTTAGTAGAATCCTCACCATTTTCAAGTAAGACTTTGTGCAAAGTCAGTTACATTGGTTTTGTGACCTTTGATTTGTTCCTGAAAATACATGTTTTTAAAATACTAAAGTTGGTGGGAATGTTTTTTAAAAAACACCTATGAGTAGGCATAGTTCCTTTTAAACACTACACTGAAAATATGAAAACAAACACTAGTGAAATTTATCTTGTGTGCTTTCAGACTCAAAAGAAAAACTAATATAACCCAAAATAATACATTTGAATAGCCGACACTATTTTGTAACATTTAAGTATTATTCCCCATAAAGAAAAAAATTGATACATGCTCATTTAGAAAGTACAGTGTTTTATATTGTAGTTGGAAGTCCATCATGTACACAAAGATTTCCTGAAGGTTGTGCAGTTGCTGCGAGATTGACATTTGGCTAATCTAAAACTGTTCTAAATAACTGTGATAATACTGTGATATCCATAACAACTGGTAGGTGTTAAAAACTCGCTGGAAATGATTTGTTTGGTTTGACGGACATTTTACAAGATGTGCTTCCCATCCCCACCCTCCTGTAGCTGAGGAAGGCCATATGAGATAAATTAATTTTTTTGGTGTATTTGTGAGGAAAGATGGGAGATGAAGATACAGCAGGGATTCAAGGTAGAAAAGAAATAGAAGGAGAGAAGTAATAAATAGTCTCAAGAGATTTAGTCTTTATTTCAGCAGGAAGACTGATGTAGTGCATATGTAGTACATATATATGATTTGGAATAGGAACCTAATTGGATAGGAAGAAAAAGTATCAGGAAAAAAATGCTTAGGGACAGGAATGTATTAAGTCATCCTCAGTATTAGTTAGGAGGGTAGTATGTTGCTCAGAAACCACTGCTAGTCAGCAAGTGGGCTGAAGGCTTATTTAGTTCACTGCTTTAGTTCAAAAGTCACAGCACTGCACTGGATAACACAACAAGTCTTCCAAAACTTTTTAAAGAAGATGTGTTTCTTTCCTACCTAGAGAAAATAATAGCAAGTAGTTGTTTATGTTACTAGACTGTAAKATTTCATGAGAAAACAGCATTCTGTTGCAGGTGTTGCAGGACGCTCTTTATATGAGAATTTGATGTCACTAAGAGAATACTATGTCAATTTGTCTTGGTTTTGCTGATGTCTTCCTTGGAAAATTATCTCCAGAGCATCTGGAGATCAGCTTGTCCAACTTCTTTAGGCACTAGTGCATTTGAGACTCTTAAATGCACTCCTGACTCAGACAATCAGAAATGGTGCCTGTTTCCTAATTCACTTGTTCTACAAGACTAAGGAAGRTAACAAAAAGGAAAGGTGCAAAGACTTGGAAGGATAAAAACAAGAACAAATCCTGTAGTGCTGGGGATGGCAGCTCTGGGAAGAAACCTGGAAATTGTGGGAAGGGAAAGAAATGCTGAAGTAGAGAGAATGCATTAGGAACTGAGCAGGATAGAAGTCGYGAGGACAAAGAAATACATTGATCATGGTCATATCTGTTCTGGAATATTAGGCAGACAGTGGTGTAATGTGAACAAGAGGAAGTTGTGGGTGTACTTGTAGAAAAAGGATATACTGGTATGCCAACAAAAGCRGATTCAGCTATAGAATCAGAGGAAGTGAAAGTCACGCTTATATTTTAAAACCTGAGAGAAAGAAAGACAAAGGAGATAATGAAAAAATGAGGAGGTAGCAAGGAAAAATAAAACCTTATGAAGTCTACACTGAATTAGACCATATCTCCCCATCTAGCTCAAATCTGACTGCTGCTGGTAGCAGGGATTTCGTAAGAAATAAGCAAAGATACAAAAAACAGGTTGTACATAGAACGACGCCTTCCCTCATATACTTGCTGCTGCCGAGCAATCGGTAAGCAAAGCCTGCATTTGAGCAATCTGTGTAAGTTCTTACAGAAGATTTCAGGATTTCTGTAAATACTCGCTCTAAATTCTCTAAGATTTAAAAAAAAATGCTGAGGATAAACAAGGACATCTTTATGCTGTGGTGTATTTAAAAATCAATGTATTGAAAAAAAAATATTGAAAAAGGAAACTTTAGATTAAGTCTCCAGCTTTATAGGACCTCATAGATATTATCCTCTTCTTTACTTGCTCTCATATATTTTCCTTATAGAAACAGGGTAATTTTAGCAAAGGGGAATACACACTAGAAATAAAAATAATCTAAATTGAAATAAGCTAGTTCTATTTAACATTGTTTTAGGAATGCAAATCAAAGTGAACCCTTTCTTCAGTGCTGGTTTTGTCAGGACTTCCCATCAGTTTGTGCTCTCATACTAAAAGTTCTTAGTGATTTTTAATGAGCTGTCTTCTGAAGAAGGTGAGTAAGGTTTGGTCCTTTCATCACATTTTCTGCTGTATAATGTAGGAGAAGTTAAAAACTCAAATAATTACATTGTGAATCCTTGCAATATTAGTTGTCATGGTCAAAACTGGAGAAAGTACTGCAACAAGAAAATGAGTCAGCATGATTTTTCCAAAGGAAAAGAAAGGAAAAATGCTTGTAACGTTAAGAAGATGGGGCAGGGGGAAAAGATGCAAATTTCTGTTATGGAAGGGAGTCTGCATTATGGAATGATAGAGTGATGATCTGTTAGAATTCATGAAATAGGTCCACTAAGTCTGGGATGTCAACAGAAAGATAACTCAGAACCGTGTTTTAAGATACAGGTCTGCACAACTGTGCACACACTTTTGTAAATGTCCTTACATATTCTCAAGCACTTGATATGCTTGCATAATGTGCGCGCTTGGCACACTGAAACCAGAACTGGCAGTATCTCTGTGACAGTCTGATATATATGTTGGCAGTGGCTTTTTTTGCATGAAACAAAACTGTGTGAGGAACTCAGGGGTGCATGGCAATGCACATCTGTGTGAGCATAGCTTTGAAAGTGATTTTTTCTGTTTTTCTGATTAGTGTTGCAAAGTCCAAAATGTAAGGGAGAAAAAACCGCTACACCAGTACAGGCTAGGACAGCAGCTCTGCACAATCGGATCTGGGGGTTTCTGGTGAACATCAAGTTGAACATGAGCCAGTGCTGTGCCCTTGTGCAAAGAGGGCCAGCAATCTCCCATGCTACTTTAGGAAATGTTGCCAGCAGGTCCATGGAGCTCATCTTTCCTATTTACTTGTGCTTTTGAGGTCGTATCTGGAATACTGGGTCCAGCAGTGGCCTCCCTAGTAGAAAAGAGGGATATACCAGAGGAGGTCTAGTTAACCACCTTAAAGATGGTTAGACAGCATCCCACATGCTGAAGGAGAGGCTGCAGACCTGGTATTGTTTAGCTTTGAGAGGAGAAGGCTTGGAGGGGGACACTATCAATACGTATAAGGAATACCTAATGCAATAGCATGAAGAAGACATAGCCAGACTATTCTCAGTGGTATTCAGTGATGGGACAGCAGGTAAAAATTGAAATACAAAAAAAAAAAAAAAATTAAAATTTTTTTAAACTCATTTTTTACTGTGCAGCAGGTAGAATATTGGAACAGGTGCTCTGAGAGGTTGTGGAATTTCCATCCTTGCAGATACTCAGAATTCAACTGGTCACAGCCCTCAATAAACTGCTCTAGCTGACCCTGCTTTGAAGTAGATTAGTTCCAGCCTTGACAAAGTTATCATAAATCTCCTTGGGAAAATTCAATGACAAAATTTTCTTATTTGACATGTGCATCTGTTACTTTTATAAAATAGTAGTTAATTTAAGTTCCTCTACGTTCAAGWTAAGTTGAGAAAATGACCTAAAAATCACATCCTGATTGCATTCCTGTGCACAAAAAAAATTATCATAATGTTGCTTTAAGTTTTTAATTTTATGTTATTTCTACTTTTGTTTTCCTTTTCAGTCTACAGAAGGAATTCTTATGTTTTCAATAAGCAGTAAATGTATCAGAGCGAATTCATACTAGATAATTTTCTAAGGCTGTTTTAAAACATTCTACTGACACTCAATTGTGGCCAGTTTTTTATTGAACGGTCTGAATTTTCCCTGAATTAYGACCCTTCAAAATTATTATTTGCTTTC